GGAGATACATTCAAATTGAACTTCTCTTAAATAGATAAGAGAAAAAAACAAGTTAAAAAACCAAAAGCTCTGGCCGAGGCCCTTTAACAGTTAGCGAAGGACTCAAGGTCAGTCCTTGGAGAGCAGCTGGGGTCTTTCTCTAGAGGAAGCTAAGCACTAAGCACTGTGAGGAGGTGGCATTCATGGCACGAACAAACTAGAGATGGAGCGACTGGGACTTCTGATGAGAATAGGCCAAAAAATAATTAGAGATGAAGGCTGTTAAAAGCTACCAAGGAAAAGCATCGTACAAATTCTGGTCCCAAGACAAAGGGAAGACAAAGGCCAGATAAACCATGCTACAGAAATCCAGGCAGGGTAATAATAAACCAAGAATTCCTCACCCAAATTAGACACAGGCAGTGAGTGAAGCCACCCTTGGTAGAATTATTGACCTCAAGGAAGTGAAAATGAGTAAAGACTGGCTTGCATTAATTAAATTAATTAATAATTAATTAATTAGTAATAATTAATTAATAAAAGGACTGCATTGGCAGGATTGGACTATATTCTCTTCATATCTGTCACTGTGAGAGACACTGCAGGTAAACTAACTTGAGGCCTACGTTGGAGTAGTGTGAGCATGTAGCAGGAAGCGCCGTGACCGAGAAGAAGGGACATAACTACAGTAGAGAATGCTAACTCCAGACTTTTCTGAAACGAACAGGTATATGAAATACTGCTTTAAAATGTACCAGATATTAACTCAAGACAGACACACTGACCAACTGAGAAGACGCTATGCTTCAGGAGAAGGCAGTGAGGTTGGTCCTCACCAAGGCCTTAGAGAACAGGAGCCTGGAAACATCAATAGAGGCTTCGGTTCAAAACACTCCCTGAAGTTTTTGTTAGAGCAGATGTGATCGGTACTATAAGGAGGAACCTATGCTGATAAAATGGGTTCATCATGTAAAATTCTGGGCACTGTGTGGAGAGCCTGTACCCACCGGAGAGGTAAAACAGGTGGGCCCTGAGACTTGCTGACTACAGTCTAAATGAAATAAGATCCACGGCTTCAAACCCCAATGTACAAAGAAACTGAGGAAGGGAAGACACCCAAAGCTAACCACCTGTCTACACACATATACGTAATTATGCTCATACAAGATCATGTGTGTAAATAGACACACAAATAAATAAAATAGTCACAGCATAGTTATTTTGGACATTGTCACTGGATGCGGGATAGAAGCTTTAATACACAGTGAGCATTCTGTTAGTCACAGTATGGCAGTGGACTTGCTTAATTGATCTACTCTTCTTTCAGACCCCCCTGGAGAAAGCTCTACACTACCCACCGTGGTCTAGAATGGTCCTCAGGAAGGCAGAGCTGTTTAAAAAGACATCCCCATAAAGGTCCTAAGAGACTGGTGGCTCTTGACAGGGACAATGGTTTTTCTAGTTCATTGAAATGCAAAAATGTACCAGAGTAGTTAAGATAATTTCAAAAAAGTTGAAGACCATTAACCGGAATGGGAATGCCATAGTATTTTTGTTGCTATTTACATAGTTTTTTTATTTTAGTTTTTATTGCTTGTTGCTTTTATTGAGCTATATATTTTTCTCTTCTCCCCCCTTCTACCTTCTCCATGATTCCTACACTCCCAATTTACTCAGGAGATCTTGTCTTTTTCTACTTCCTATGTAGATTAGATCCATGTATGTTTCTCTTAGGGTCCTCTTTGTTGTCTAGGTACCCTAGGATTGTGAATCGTAGGCTGGTTTTTCTTTACTTTACTTCTAAAAGTCACTTATGAGTGAGTGCATATTATATTTGCCTTTCTGGGTCTGGGTTACCTCACTCAATATGATGTTTTCTAGATCAATCCATTGACCTGCAAATTTTAAGATATCATTACTTTTTTTCCTGGAATGACAAGTTATTAAATAGCACCATCAAAGAGACACTAGAGGACTGGAGAGAACACTCAGCAGTTAAGAGCACCTAGGTTTGAGCCCCATTATCACAGGGCATCTTAAAACCATCTGTACCTTCAGTCTTGGGGCCTCCAGTACCCTCTTCTTTTGGACACCAGGCATACACATGGCACACAGACTTTTTTTTTTTTTAAGAGAGACTAAGGTCATCAAGACCAAGATGGGTAAAAGGAGTTGCTATCAAGTCTGACAACCCAAGTTCAATGTCTCTGGCCCATATAGTATAAGGAATTAACTACTACTACAAATTATCCTTTGATGTCCACATGCTCACAAGCGTGTGGACATACGCATACTAATTTATTAATTAATAAAAACTGTTAAAGGGAGAGTATGTACTTTTAAATGCATCTATGACATCAAATAGCTCAAAATTGATTAGTAAATTGGTGGGGGTGATTCAAATGATACACAGGATTGGCTGCACTTTTCTCTAAGCAAAGAGCCCGCATCTTAATGGCTGTGCCTCATAAAGACGTCCACTGGCCGTGTGCTCTCTTCTGTGGGAGTTTGGCTTCCTCCTATGCTTTCCCTTGTTTGTACTGTTCCTACTCTATTGCTTTTGTGCATCTTTAACATCCTTTGTCTACGGCAGCACTCTGAGATGCCTGGACAGGATTGTCATTCTATCGCCCAAGTTAGTAACTATTATTCAGTTAATGTTCTGGTTTTAAAGGCACATAGATACGGAAAATTACTCCTCTTGATTTCTTTTTTGTTGTTGTTCTTGCTAGCCCTGTTTTCCCGACAGGCATCAGCATATTATGTAATTGCATACTGTTTTCCTGCAGAAACATGGTGTCTATTGTCTATATGATGTAAATAATTCTCATCTACTGTTGAAAGGATAGATCTATACAGAAACCACAACTAAAGAATTACTGTTGGTATGTGATTCTCTTTTTCTTTTTTATTTCAAACTTCTTTCATAAAATATATTTTGACAGTGTTTTACCCTCCCTCAACTCCTCCCTAATCTACTAAACTTCATAGTCTCTCTCTCTCTCTCTCTCTCTCTCTCTCTCTCTCTCTCTCTCTTTCTCTCTTTCTCTCAACAAATATCAAAACAAACAAACCAAAAACAGACAAAAAGTTCCAAAATGAAACAAGTACTTCTCCCACAAAACAAACAAACAAAACAAAACAAACATCATTAGAATATAAACATGGAGTTTATTTTTTATTGACCAACATGGGACCTGCCATGGAGTGTGGTTGGTTGGTATAGCTATTCAGAGACATTCCGTTGGAGAAAACTTGATGCTCCCTGTGACAACAGGTATCATTACTTATTGGTTAGGGGTGAAACCTTGTTTTCACATCCACCTTTCAATGCCGAGACCCCATGCAATGTAATTATTTTTTAAATTAAAATCTCTTGTGGTTTAGAAACCTAACCACAAAAACAATTTGCAAATCATGTGAGGTTTTTAAAAGTTTTACTGTGACAATGTAAAAGTAGTTACATGTCATGACAAACCTGCTTATTTCTGTAACACGGGAGGAATGTCTGACGTACACTTAATCCTATAATAAAGTAGGAGGCACTGGTACCCTGGTGCAACTGTTCTGCTAATCTATGCTTTTGAGACACCTGCTAGGAACCTACCATATTAGCTGACTTTCCGATGTGATAGAAAGTTAACAACAACAAAAAAAGTCACAGCGAATCAAGAGTATCAGTATTTATTTATTTAAACTAGAAGTTATCTTTTACATAATATTTGACCATTCCTAAGTCAAGGTTTGGAAAATACTCAACGGAAAAATTAGGAACTCCAGTCAGCACCGCATCATAGTAACAAGGAGAAACAAGTTTTAGAACCTAATATTAAGTGATGAGGAGTGCTCAAGCCGGAAGACCCTCCAATTGGATTAGTCTCTTTAAGTATTTTAAGTCTAGGGTTGGTAGCCATATAACTGATTTCAGCTGAGATAAGCTTTTATATGTATGCAAAAACACAGAGTGAGACATGCATTAAAATGTGATAATAGCACACTTCTGGGACCCATGAAGCATGAGGCATGTATTTGAACGCCTCTGGCGGCCACAAGGCAGCAGTCTCAGTCACTACCTCACTATTTGGGTCAGGAAATGTTTTCTTTTGAGATCATGCCCAGACTAGCGGTCAAACCTGTGCCTCTCCTGCCTCAGCTGCCTCAATGCTGTAGAGAAGCAATTCTGTTACACTACACATGGAAGGAAAATAAATTCAGATTTCTAAATATAAAACTTTCCTCTTAAGCAAGTTAAGAATAACCTGAATGAACTCTAGATAGCATCCTTCCCCCTCTCTCTTCTTTCATCCCTCCCCCTGTCTCCCAGCGGTTACCGCCACCAAGTTTCCCTTTCTCCATCCTCTTCCACAGGATTGTGTGAACTACATAGAGAAGACTGAAACCTCATCTTCATGCTGCTAAAGCTACAAGCCTACAGCCTTGGCCACCAACTTTCTCTCTCATGCAGTGTGAGCATGCTTTCAACGGTATTTGTTCCTCACATTGTAAGCAATATAAATTATCCATCAGTTCTCTCTCAAGTATTTGCAATTGCTCTTTTCTCACTGGTGTCGGTCACGATTGTTGTCTTTACTGTCTGCTAATCACATTGCTCCATACTCCACACATCCCTAGAGCCGTTCCTCCCCTTTACAGGGGTGTTGCAGGAAGCTGCCCAGGGCCTCTCTTCCCATTTCCTTCTCCACCACGCACTCCCAAGCCATTCTTCCTAGATTTCATTTTACCAAATACAGATTTCTCCAAGATTACCAATGATAGCTGGTGGTGGTGGCACACACCTTTAATCCTAGTGCTCAGGAGGCAGAGGCAGGTGGATCTCTGTGAGTTTGACCAGCCTGGTCTACAAAGTGAGTTCCAGGACAGCCAGAGCTGTTTCACAGAGAAACCTAAACTGTTACACAGAGAAACCCTATCTTAGAAAAACCAAAAATTTAAAAAAAGTTAAAAAGATTATGGGTGAGGATAAGGATCCTTCTTAACTCTCACTCATTTGAATTATGAACTGTCTTCTAGCTTTAAGCCATCTAATACCTATTCAGTGCTTCCCATGTGACATGCTCCCAGCTCCATGTTGTTCTGCCTGACTGTGGGGCCAGAAGTAACAGTGGACTGTGAAGTAAAACAGCCCTTTCTCCCCTAAGGTTGTTTGGGTTAGTCTTACGCCACAGGGATGCAGCCTGACTGAAGCGCATACCAACCTTTCTACTCCCAAATGCATCTTGCTCACTTCTCCCTTGGAGCTTTTTCATGTGCTATGTTCTCTGCTGGAGGGCTTCCCACCATCGCGCTGTTGTTTCTCATCTCAGAAGCTTTCCCTGCATCATCAGTGCACATTTAATTAGTATGTTTACAAATTCCCTTGCCCATCTCCAGACTGAACGCATGAGATGAGCAATGTGGTTAATTTTGTTCATCACTATATCCTGGGTACTTGGTAGACTTTAGTAGTCCTAAAAATGTTTTGGGTAAATAAATGAATGTAGTTTGACATACATTATTCCTAATTCAACTCATTTTATCTTCCATTGTACATTTTTTAAAGATTCTAATAAGTGCTGTTTGTAAAGTTTCTGACAATTTTATAAAACTGCTATAGATAAAGGACAATTCTGGACTTTTTCTTTTCAAATAAAACTAATTCTCTTTAGGACCTGTGCAAGGCTTTATATACTGCCTTAGGAAATAAAGTAAGAAAGTATCTTCATATCTACAGCAATCTGTTGGTTGCCTGCTCCATCTCTGTTCTCTGCCACGTCCTCAGTATACAGCACAGGTTTTCACCCTTGCACTTCTGACTCAATTTGATGGAGAAAGCCTTTCACAAATTCTAATTGGTCTTAATAATAAAAACCCAGAGCCAGGTATCAGGGTAAATGCTGAAAGATCAGTAATAAAGAAGCAAGCACCAGCCAACGCTTAAGCCGCCAACTTCTCAGCCAAAAAAAGAGCTGAGCTCCTGTCTCCTCCTGCCTTATATTTCTCTTTCTGCCCAGCCATATCACTTCCTGACTATCTGTACAGACCTCCAGATCTCTATGGTTAACGAGTGGCTAGCTCCGCCCTCTGATCTTCAGGCAAGCTTTGTCATGCTCACTAATAGTGAATGGGTTGGATACACAATCCAGTTGGGGCCAATAAGGCGTGAGAAGTCTTGTTCATCTATAAGGAGGGTGGTCCTTTGCACGTCCTGACATAATCACATCATGTTGCACAGCAATCATCTTATCACTGACCTAGGAAAAAAACCACAGAGTCCCAGGAACCAGGGTCAGAATCCCATCACTCCATGTGCAGGGTGCGCCTACCTCTGGGCTTCTTAGTTTCTTTTTGCTTATGTCTGCTTGAACAAGAATTGCCTGCTACTTGACCCTAAAGTCGTGTATCTGCTAGGTATATCTGCTGCATGTTTCTCAGAAGTTGACAATTGATGTGTACTGACTCAAGACATATTTGTCTACCAAATAGATTACAACAGCATTACTGTGTGAACCTATGAAACTTACCATTTACTTATTTAATTAGGAACCCAGGGAAGAATTTAGAGTAAATTTATCAGGCAGAAAACTGTGAAGAAGGATGGATAATTATGAAATTAATTCTTTGAATTACTAAAAATATTTCACCTCTTGCAGTTAATTGTACATACTCAGTGGAAAAGAACTCCAGTTTATCATTAATCTGTTGAGAGATCTGTTTCTACAGAATTTTTCTGCTAACTGAAATACTGTCAACAGATTAAGAAGTTTTTAAAAAGTAAATGCATACAAAAGCTTAAATCTCTGCTGAGACTAATGGTTTACAAGTTTGTTTCAGACTTATCATCATTATTTTAACCTAAAGATCCCAGGATATTGGGTTTGTATCCATTACATGAAGTAAATTGAATATATGATTTTGGGTAAATCCTGGGGGCACATTTGCTCAACTGTTCTTCATCTTGTTCTCATTAAGGCAGGTGACAAACAGACAATGAGATATAATTATTTGCTCTCACGAGTAACGAACTCTGATTTGTAAAAACAACTATTTCTTATCAAATTGTGTTCAATGTTGTTTTCATATTTTATTTTATAAAAATGAGAAACATATAATGGAGAGACTTTATAACTAATCTATGGACACATACTCCTTGCTTACTTTATTATTTTAAATATTTTTATTTATTTATTTTAGCTTGGAATGATGGCACATTCCATTAATCCAAGCACTCGGGAATCAGAGGTAGGTGGATCTCTGACTTTGACGTCAAACTGGTCTGTTTACACAGTGAGTTCCAGGACAGCTAGGGCCCCACAAGAAATTCTGTCTTGAAAATAAAAATACAAAAAAGTAATAAAATAAAATAGCTGTGCAATGGTAGTACATGTCTTTAATTCCAGCACTTGGGAGGCAGAGGCAGGTGGATCTCTGTGAGTTTGAGGCAAGCCTTGTCTACAGAGCTAGTTCCAAGACAATCAAGGCTACACAGAGAAACTCTGTCTTGGAAAAACAAAACAAAAACCAAATAAATCAATAAAGTAAAAACGGTTTTAAAATTTTATGTGTTTGGGTATTTGCCTGCATATATATCTGCATATCTTATGTGTGATTCATACCCATGAGAAAGAAGAGGGCATTGGAAGCCCTGGAACTAGAGTTAGACAGTAGTGATCCGCTTCATGGATACTCTAGAAGGGAAGCTGGTGCTTTTAAGCACTAAACCATTGCTCCAGGCTTTTTTTCCCTTTTTTTCTAGCCACCAACCACCTATTAAACCATAGCATGAAGACTTCTTAGTTATGAATGTTCGGCCTAGCTTAGGCTGATTTCTGGTTAGCTCTTTTAACTTAAATTAACCTGTTTCTCTTTATCTACTTTTTGGCTCAGGGCTTTTTATCTTGTCTTTCTGTATGTCCTATTTTTCCTGCTTCTTCTGTACCGTGTTTATCTGGCGGCTCCCTGGCTGACCAGCCCTGGGCTTCTTTCCTCCTTTCTCCCTCATTCTCTTCTCTCTTCTTTATCTTTATATTTTCAAGTCCAGATTTCTCTTCCTATTTATTATCTCTGCCCAGAAACCCTGCCTATCCCTTCTCTGCCTAGCTATTGGCCATTCTGCTCTTTATCCGACCAATCAGGTGCCTTTGGCAGGCAAGGTGAGACAAACGCAGCACATCTTTACATAATTAAACCAGATTCTATAGGTATCTTGCTGATTCTGAATTTTTTGAATACAAATGAATAGAGAATGACAGCTGCTGAGAGACACTGGATTATGGGAGGATGTAATGATATTTCATTTGTATCTTAATAAATAAAGCTTGCCTGAAGATCAGAGAGTTAAGCATCCCCACTGCTCAGCCTTACAGACCAGGCAGTGGTGACACACACCTTTAATTTCAGTAGTCACATTAGTTTGCCGTAGAAACTGGGCAGTAGTGGTGCACAATCCCGGCCCTAGAAAGGATTATAAAATCAGAGGAGACAACTCTCAAGCAATCTCAGTTTGAGGATTCCTGGATGCAGAATCGCCATTTTGGACTGAGATGAAGGCCAGAATCTGTTTTGCTTTTCTGACCTTCAGGTTGAACCCCAATATCTGTCTCTGGGTTTTTATTAATCATGCTACAGAAAGGACTGCTAGATTAAACCAGACTAGATACTTTAGGAATGCTTTAACTTAAAAATGGTATTCAGGAATGTATTGCTTTTGGGAAGAAGTTATGCTTTTGTTTCTACAGAATATGAAAGGCTATGGATTCACTCAAGGTTAAAGAGAATCAGGCTTGTTCAGGGGAGATCCCCTAAAAATCCATTAATAGAGTATTTTCTCTGAATTGCCAAATGCAAATGGGCTAGACTTTATAAATGTAATTCTCACCTGATAATTGTTCTTATTTTAATTGTTTTTCTACATTAGAGTTAAAACTCTTTCTTTTCTTATTTAGACAAAAGGGGGAAATGTTGTGAGATATTTGATTACACTGTGTAAAAATATGTCACTGTGATTGGTTTAATGAAAAGCTAAACAGTCAATAGCTAGGCAGGAGGAACAGACAAGACTTCTGGACAGAGAGAGCTCTGGGAAGAAGAAATGGGGAGTCACCAGCCAGATGCAGAGGAGCAGGATGGGCAAGATGAGGTAACGAGCACATGGACAAATGTTGATTTAAAAATATGAATTAATTTAACTTATAAGAACCAGTTAGAAACAAGCATAAGCTAAGGACGAAATTTCATAGTTAATAATAAGTCTCTGTGTCATTTTTTTTGAGCTGGTGACCCTAAGGAAATTCTGACTAAACTTTCTAAAATATATACAGATATAAAAGTGATTGAAATAAAATCACCATGTAATGGGGTAGTTGAAGCCCCAACTAGAGATCCTCACCACCAAATGAAGCTTCCGATTTTAATACAGTTGTTGGTCAAAGGGAACCCCAAAACAACCCAGGTTATTACCAAACCTATTGATTGACAAAACGCACAGGGCTTGCAGGGGTCTGGGCCTGATGAGGTCTCAGAACTGAGGGGGAAAGTGGGCAGAAGCCCACATCCCTAACCCAAAAACTATCTCCAATTAGTAACTGCTCGCAAAGGAAAGATTAGTTTTCTCCAATGGAGTCTCACTGGGTATACAAACTACTCTTAAGGCAAGGCCCCAGACCCAGCAGTAGATGTCTGGTGCAAAACAAGCTCACTGATATTTTTGGAGAATTTTCTCTCACAATGCTTTGGTCTGGGAAGGTTTATTCTTGAATTGGAGCAGTTTACCAGTGACTATACCACTGAGGAATATATTTCTCTCTCTCTGAAAACTTTAACTGCCTATAGCTCCTCTGGGAAGGGTGGGGCCTCATGAGACCCTCCCTCTACCTAGATGGACTATTAATGAAGCCAATCTCATTCAGGGCTTGTGCAAGCAGACACTGTTGCTGTGAGTTCACGGGTCTCCATCCCATCGTCCAGCTCTTACATTCTTTCAGCCCCCTCTTCTGTTATGTTCCCTGAGCCCCTTCACTGGCTCTGTTTTTAGCTTCCATTTCTT